CTCCTCACCAGTTGCAAACTCAATGAACATGTCTTTTTGTTTATTACCTAACACATTAAGATCTGCCCTCTTGTTGTCATCATCGAAATAATTGCACAGAAATTCTTTATTATCAAAAAAAAGTAGAAGCCAACACAAATAAAACCTAAAAGTAATAATTTAGCTTGCATTATCACATAACTAACTTTATGTCTCTCCTGAAACTATTTCTTTAAACGACGCAACGTTTCTGGCCCAGAAAGAAGAAACGTTGGTTGAGAAAAAAGCCAGGTTGGGTTTAATTAAACCTAAAAAATTATGGTCAGATTTTCAAAATATGGTCTGATTTCAAATTAGATAAGATTTTCAAAGTCTTCTTCAGAGCTGCTTTGGGGTGAGAAATCGGCCCCGAAGGATGTTTTTAACCTTTTTAGACTCACTATCTCATGACTCTCCCTCCTATGCCGGCAAAATTCTGCCCGTGGACGTCGTTATAGAAAGATTAAGAGCATTTTTATTTTTAATTAGAAAATAATTCTGGTAAATATTTAAATTTTGAATAATTTTATTAAAAATATACACTGCTCCAATAAATCTGTGGAACCCTAAAACTGGGGATTTTTGCCTATAACTCTCGAAAAAATTGATTTGAAAAAATTTTTTAAAACATACTTTTTGAGCACTATTTATTATTACAAAAAAGTCTAAAAAAAACATCTCGGTTACAGTATTGAAGCCAAGAAAAATATAGGAGGGGCTATAATTTTATGGAGCAGTGTTGCGGTTGATTAAATATATTAGTGAATTAACCATGAAAAAGAAAAATATTGTCTCGTTGTGCATAATTATCACAGAAAAGAATTTTTTAAAATATTGCAAATATACAGAATTAGATTGAATATTATGAAGATAATGCTTTTAATATTATTATTTAATACTTATATAAAAAACCCACACTTGTCCCTATTTTTGTGGGTAAAATCCCTTATAAAAATTCCGCCGGCCGAAGGCCGGCGGCTGGAATTTTTTGAGTGATACATTTGTCATACAACTTTTTGCGCTCTATTCAGGAAAACTCTAACCTCGGCGCTGAAACGTCGTTTTCGCACTGAAACGGCCATGAGTGGTTTTTCAAATGGAAATAGCGAGGAGGGGTGAAGTGTGATCAAAAAGTGCTTGCTGGGAGGAACCTAAGTTGGGATGGGTACTATATCGTATGAAAAATTTGGGGGGCCTGGGATTAACGGCTGAGGCTGTGGCCTTGGCTAAAAATTGCACATCTATTCCCAAAATGACACATGGTGTCCGACGAAAATCACCGACTATTTTCAAACTATATGCCATTCGATAGAGCTCCATGAGTAGGTTCTGGGAAAATTTAGTTTAAATTTTTTTGACCATTTTGGGCAAAGTTATAGAACGCCAAAGGTCCAAAATGTCCAAAACCCCTAACGTGAAGGGTGGCTCCCATCGAATGTAATTATAAAATTGCTTAAGATTGGGCAAATGGTTTCAACTCTTTTTTATTATGTTAGGGCACTAAGTGTACTACAATTTTGTTGGGGGACACTTGAGTCTGAGATACATCCCAAAAAAAAAACCCCCAAAAAAAAAAAAAAAAAGATACATCCCAAAATGAATCGCGAGGGCCGGAGGCCCGAGCTTAAGACCCATCCTAAAGGTAATCGCGAGGGCCGAAGGCCCGAGCTTAAGATCCATCCCAAAATGAATCGCGAGGGCCGGAGGCCCGAGCTTAAGACCCATCCCAAAACGAATCGCGAGGGCCGAAGGCCCGAGCTTAAGACCCATCCCAAAACGAATCGCGAGGGCCGAAGGCCCGAAGCGATGAAAAGGCAGGGCTAAACTTTACTGCGAGGGCCGAAGGCCCGAGCTTAAGATCCATCCCAAAATGAATCGCGAGGGCCGAAGGCCCGAGCTTAAGATCTATCCCAAAACGAATTGCGAGGGCCGAAGGCCCGAGCTTAAGATCTATCACAAAACGAATTGCGAGGGCCGAAGGCCCGAGCTTAAGACCCATCCCAAAACGAATCGCGAGGGCCGAAGGCCCGAAGCGATGAAAAGGCAGGGCTAAACTTTACTGCGAGGGCCGATGGCCCGAGCTTAAGATCCATCCCTAAACGAATCGCGAGGGCCGAAGGCCCGAGCTTAAGATCTATCCCAAAACGAATTGCGAGGGCCTAAGGCCCGAGCTTAAGACCCATCCCAAAACGAATCGCGAGGGCCGAAGGCCCGAAGCGATGAAAAGGCAGGGCTAAACTTTACTGCGAGGGCCGAAGGCCCGAGCTTAAGATCCATCCCAAAATGAATCGCGAGGGCCGGAGGCCCGAGCTTAAGACCCATCCTAAAGGTAATCGCGAGGGCCGAAGGCCCGAGCTTAAGACCCATTCTAAAACGAATCGCGAGGGCCGAGAATGTTGTTTAAACGCGGCGGGCCAAAGGCCCGCCGAGATTTCCAAGGCTTTTTATTTAATATAGCAGAAAAAACCTTCTAGCAGCGCGCGAAGCGCGCCCCAAAGCCGTTAGGCTTTCGGCAGGGCAGAGCAAATTCAAACAAAAAGTATCGTAACTAAACCTATTGCATACGTAACTTACCGCCATACCCCAATGGGCACAACTAGTTAGAAAGAATAATAGAAAATCCAACTTCACTTCACAATTAAAGGTCAGAGGTCCTTTATCGAATGGTACCAAAAAAATATTTAAAATTCTGAGTTAGAGTAAACTATATGAAGGGGCGTATAGTAAAAGGACAGACATGGGACGGGTATCCAAAACCCGATTCGAAGAAAATTTTGAAAACCCGATCCGAAATCCTACCCGAATTTTTCTCAACCCATCCCATCCCTGGTCCATATTAATAGATAAGTGAAGTCAGATTGTATAAAAAACCCAAAAAAGTCAAAAGTAGAATTACTAACCGAATACTAAAAAATAAAGATAATAAGAGACAGAATCCTTAAAAATCAACCCAATTTTATTTTTTAAAAAATTTTCTCTCAACTCTGATTTCTATCAAAAGCAAATGGTTTTAATGCCAATATTGCCATCTTTACAGCTTTTGCACACTCTCCGGCTTTTGGAAGAATAAAATAATGGACATGACTGACATGTGTCCTTTAGAAGGAAAAAATTTTTTTGAAATTTTTTAAAAATTTTATTTTTTAAGCTTACTCTCCAGTTGGTAATTCATATCCAAATTTAAATGTCAAAAATTCAGGAAATCTTCGTTTACTAGTTACTTTTAATATACTAGCTAATGAATGTCTCATTGATGAACAAACTATTCCTTCCTGTTAAAATAATTTTTAAATAATTTTGAGACTTCTAAAACAAAACTCACATTAATGTCCACTTTGTGAAAAATGTGCATATGTGTTCTACTAAAAAATAGAAAAAAATTATTTTTATTAATAAGGCACGCGGACATATCGGGACGGACATATCGGGATATTTCAATGTACGCACAGTTACCCTACTGATCTCGGGACCTACGGTCACTGGGTCTTGGATAGTATATTGTCCTACTGAGTGAGGAATAAAGTTTTTATGTTTTAGAACAAACGTAAACACGCAAGAAATTATTTTTGTTATCCCAATGCCGATATTCGTCCCGATATGTTTGCACAATATTAATAAAGCAATCAAGAAAAAAATTTTTTTATTATCCTATCGGATACTTTTTTCTATAAAATGCTTGAAAATTTCAATTTTTCTTCTTTTGTTTAGCCTTCGTTTAATCCCAGTCACTTGAATGACTGGCTTTAAAAAGCCCTTTTAAAAAATAAGAAAACTTAGGGAAAGATCAAAAAATAAGGCAACCAAAAAGTAAACAAAACATTAAATTTTCGAAAACTCTATTTTAAATATAATCCTCTAAAATCACCCCCTTTTTCTAAAAATTCAATTCTCGAAAAAATTTTTTTCTAGTTGAACATGCCAGAAAAAAAAATTAAAATAAAAAATTCCAAACCTTAAAGCTATATAACAAGGTATTCGATTATCTTTAGATGGACTTGAATATTGGAATAAAGTTCTATCTTCAAGTGCAAACACTTCCTTTTAAAAAAATTTTTCAAAAAAAAATTTTTTTTCAATTAAAAAAACCTCTCCCTCAAAATTTTCAATAATTTCTGCCTTTTTTATAATTTCATTCCATTTAAGTCTTTCCCCTTCTTTTGGTTTTGCCTTCATTTGTGAGGGAGAAGAAATTTGTAATTCATCAACATCAGAACTTAAAGATTCTTCTTCATTTATTGAAAATACTGATTGAATATTTCTATATCTTTTATTTCCAATTCTTTCTGAAGTGCTGACATGTTTTAATAAATCTTTTGAAAATTAAAAAAAAATTTTTTTGAAAAAATTTTCCCAAAAAAACTAACCAGATTTATTCTCTTTTGTATTAATTTCTTTTGGTTGTTTTATTTGAACAGATTTCTTTAGTAATGACAAAAATGACTAAAATAAGTTTAATAAATATGTATTGACATTAAGCTTGTAAATACGATTTTTGAAAGCTGGGCAAAAAATTGGGCAAACGGTTGGGAGGAGGGGGGTCCTCTAGGCAAGCGGTACCTCGTTCTGTGTTATCCAAATTCCGATAGAGTTAGAGAGGTATCCGCACAGATGACTTAATGGTAGTCCATAATAATATAAAAGACCAGAAAATTTCAGTTTACAAGGGGCCTCCTAACTAGGGTTGCCAAAATGACCCGCTTCGGACCGAAAGATCAAGTCAGACCTAAGATATTTGGCCCGAAAAAGACTCGTACCGGCCCGACTCGATAGAAATGAGGCCCGAAAAAATGACTCGATCGTCGGCCCGACTCGAAAACGGCAACCCTACTCCTAACTCCGAGTAACAATTTCAGACATTTTTTTGATATCATTCGGTAGACAGAACCTATTACCACTTTGACTTAATTTAGCTACGGAGTAATTTTCGATAGTTATAGGCCTACAAAAGGCATGAAAAATTTTTAATTTTAACAAAATTTCTTCTAAAAAACCTTTTTCCATTCACTTTTAGGTTGTGCAGTCATAGGTCCATTTTTGCATTCAATACAGTCATTTTTTGTAAAGTGATTACTCAATTTTTGTAAATTACCAGTTTCAGAAAGAATTAAATGTAAAGCTTAAAAATAAAAAAATTTTCTTCCAAAAATTAAAAAAAACCTTTATATCCTCCCTCGGCATAGGAAATGTGCTCTAAATTTTGATGGAGAAAACGAGAAATAGCCATAAACATAAATTGGTCTTCTTCTTCATGTCCAGAACCGACAAAACAAATGTGGTCTTTAGGGCAAGTTTCAGTTTTAAATTTTAAAAGTGACGACATTGCAAAGCCGAACTTGTCTGGGTCTTCAACAATCTACAAAAGAAAAAAAAATTTTTTTTTGAAATTTTCAAAAATATTTTGAAAAAAAATTGAAAAATAAAAAATAGTTTGTTGGGAAAATTTTTTTATTAGTTTTTAAAAATAAACTTTTCAAAAAAAAATTAAAAAAGACTTTTTTTCAAAAAAGTCTTCTCCTTAAAAAAATCTTCAAAATTTTTTCAAAATTAAAAAAAATTTTCAATATTAAAAAAAAATTTTATTTTTACCGTTTCAGCATTTAAATTAAAAGCACCAGAAATAGATCCAGCATTAAAACTTTTTTGTGGTCGAGTGTCAATAATAAAATAAGAAAAATTTGAATTTGTAATTTTTGGGTCAATAGCACGTTTATAAAGCTCTTGAGCAGAAATTGAAAGGCAAATAAGTCGATTTAAAGGCTGTTCAGAACATTCGTCTAGTAAGTTTGAGCCAAATAGCATACAATGAAAATCCTTAAAGAAATTTTTTTAATATTTCAAAAAAATAATTTCATAGGCGTAACAAAGGAATAAAAATTCTAAAGTTGCTTTTCCATGTTGGCATTCAATGTAATTAATTATAAATGCTTGGGTCAATAGCTTTGGGTCAATAGCACTTGGAAGTTCACTTGCCTTATTTATTTTTTGCTCTTCATTCCCCTAATGTAAAGGAGATCCAAAAGGCATTAAAAAATGGTAGGCCCAAAAGAATCAGAGAAATATAGGTGTTTAAGAAAAAAACGTTAACTAGACGGGGGGTTAAGGAGAAGGAAGCATCGCTCCATTAGCTCAGTCGAGCACCAGTACATGGTGAGCAAAGACAGCTAGCAATAACTTATAAAAGGTTGTAGGATCGATGTCTTCCCGGTGCTAATATCATAACTCTCTCCTAATTTCAAATTTTTTGGCAAGAACCCGTCCTTAGTTACATCAATTAATTAATTTAAAAAACCTCTCGCACGGAAATCGGTGTCAAATTTAAGTGAACAGAACAAATTTCAAGTAGATCAGTTAAGTCATCTCTTGTCATTTTGCTTGGAATATCTTTGAGTAAATTAAGAATTTTGTCACGTTCAGTTAATAAAAGTATTTCATCCTTTACACTTTGTACAAAAGCCAAAGAAACGAAGAAAATAAGGAAAGGGTCTCCCTAGAAGAAAAAAATTTTTTTTGAAAATTTTTCTAAAAATTCCCCAAACCTTTTCAAAATATCTATCCCAAAGTAAATTACACAAATCATCATCCATATTTACACATAACAAAGTCCGAAGCCAAAAACTTGTAAATTCTGATGATTGAATTTTGAAGGAATCCAAAAATGAGCAAAGTTGAGGGTCATGGTATTGCATTAAAAGGCGTAATAAATCAAACATTTTTGGTGATCTTAAAAAATATGAAAATTCAACGAGTTACGGGAGGGGGGGGGGTTTAGGTTAAAAATAAAAATAATGTTAAGAAAGAGAGACCTAACAAGAAAACATCTTGAAGTGTAACCAAAGCCGCTCTAAAGGACGAAAATTTTAAAAGCTTTATAATTTTCCGAGTTGGGGGTTAGGGTCTAAAAAGCCAAAAATTAGCAATAGGTTATCGACCCTGCTCTACACGATGATGCAAAAAATTGTGGAATTTATGGTTACAGTTCAGGATGTTTCCTTGCAAGAATGCTGAATTAATTCTTCGGATTTTTACATTCAAATTAATATCAGAATTTTAGAAAACTATCCGTAAGCCCCCAAAAAAGCCCCGAAAGACACCTACTTAAAAGCAAGTAAAAACCTAACTTATAGGAAAAAGTCTCCTTAATAAAACAACTCAATAAGAAACATGAGTAAACCAGAAAAACAGGCACGTAACTAGGGAGTGGGGCTCTAAATCCTGTCAAAGATTATTTTCTTAAAACCTCCTATCCAAAACAAACCTCGGAATATATTTCGTTGTAATAGCCCAAAAAACATTAAAAAGGTTGCATTTATCGAAAGGGAATTCCAACAATTTTCCCAGTATTTCTAACCATCCTTTGTCTTGTTCATAACCAACATTTCGTCTTTTACAATATAAAGTCATAAGGCTTTCAATTTCAGGCACAGTCCATCTTGAAGAAATATTGCTTCTTTGTTGTATTAATTTTTGGCAATCCTTTCTCAATAATGATTGGTTTTTCAAATTGTAAAGATTATCCCAGTCTGTGAGGGGGTCTGGTTTGTTTCGAACTCCAAGAAGATTCTGAAAAAATTTTTTTTCATAATTTAAATTAAATTTAAAAATGATTTTTTGTGTAAGTCGGTTCTTACTTGCGCCGTAATAGTCGTTTAACTAAGGTACCGGAAGAGCATTTAACTAAGGTACCGGAAGAGCTATACAGACCAGTAGGCATTAGAGATCGAGATTTTTGAAAAGCCTGGGCCTGCTCCTGGGTCCCTGGTTTGATTTACTGACCTGGGGCGGGTCTGTAGTCCAGGAAAACCCCAGGATGATCAAAAATACCTGGAAGGGTACAGGAAAAACACAGGCATTGGTCTAGGCCCAGCTCAATCTCTAGTAGCTCATTATACAGAGAAACTCCCAAAAAATTAAAAAATCTAATAAAAATCCAAATAAACCTTACAATCCAACTATTGGCCCTTGACGACGAATATGACGTCGATTGGTTTCTAACACTTTTGTCACTCTCTCCAGTCACATTTAAACTTTGTCTAGTTATATCATCACTTAACGAACTCGATTGACCTTCATCTTCAACTTTTGACCATCCATCACTTAAATCCTGTTCACCATTTTCATCATTATTGTTTGAAAGAGACATTAAAAACTAGCTAAAATCTAATTTTTAAAACCTAAAAAATTTAAATAAAAAAGGAACAGGCTAAGGTAACGCCGAGCTATAACTTCGTTCAAAATTGCCAAAATCCAAAACACCCTGATATGGTTCGATGCACCTCACCGAGTCAGGGCGTCCCGGATTCGACATTTTTGAACGTAGCTATTAGAGATCAGCCTGGGTGCAGGCCCAGGCATTTTTTGGCCTTTCTGGGTTTTTCCTGGACTACAGGCCCAGGATCCGGCCCAGGTCAATAAATCAAACTCCAGAGTCGAGGAACTCCAGGTTTTTCAAAATTTCCTATCACTAGTAGTTATAGTAGCTCGGCGGTACCTTGAGGTATAACCAAAATAAATTTAAAAAATATTTTTAGAATGTCAAAAACAACACAAACACTTTAAACAAATTATTCAAAAAATATTTATGAAATTTTATTTTATAATCGTCACATATTGTCTCCCCCTTACAACACAAAAAGAAATCACCCGAATATTTTTAATAGTTTAACAATGAGAAATTAAATGGTTCGTGTGGGGCAACTGTTTTCATTCCATCCTTTGAATCACCAGAATCACTACTTATACCTCCAGCTATAGCAGCCTCAACTAATTCCTCTTCTTCGTCTTCATTTAAACGCTCAAACATTATTATTCCTCCACGCGTTATAGATTTAATTGGCGTATAGTGAGATCCCTCAGTTGGCATTGACAATTTACGTAGTTGAAGACGAACTACACGAGCTGGATTTGAAATATTGTGGAAAGAAGGCTCTTGAACTGCTTCTTTATTAACTCTGGAAAAATAAGAAAATTATACATAGAAGAGGATATTATATCAAGGTTTTATCGCCGACAAGTTTTCAAGTCATTTACGCAACCAAATACGTCTCCTATATACCTAGCAGGGATGTCACGGGTTAAGAGAAAGTTGAGGAATTTCGGGTCAGATTTTAAAAATTTTTTCTAATCGGACTTCGGGTCAGAAAAAAGTCTGGGTCTAATTTTAAGTTAACCCGTGACATGCCTGACACCTAGCGATTAAACAGCTATAAAACTCCCAGCCCCCAATTTAAGGAAAAATCAAACCTTTCATCCGACTTCTCTTTATCATCAGAATGTGTCTCATCCGTAGGCTCATCAACTTCCATTTTTTCTGGTTCTTTAAAAGAAAAATTATTGATTTCTCTAAAATTAAAAACACAACCTTGTTCCTTCTTCTTTTCTCCTCCCTTCTTTTTGTTTGTTGTAGAGAGCACAGCTACTTCTACTTTTTCAACTTCCACCTTTTTCTTATCTTCCAATGGTGGAGGATAAGCAAAGTAAGAAGCCTTGGTATTGCATCGAAAGACAATTTTGGGCATCTAATTTTAAAAAATTACCAAACTCCCAAAGAAAATCCAAACCTTTAATCCTTTATTTAGTCCAATCAGACAAGTTGGTTGAAAAGCCAAAGAGATAAAATGAGTCAACGAATGCCAATACCAATGCTGTAAAAACACAAAGGTTCCCAAAACTGAAGGCATGTCAGGCTGTCCATCACGGTTATGCAAGGAAAGGGTGACATTTCGTCCACCGGCATCCAAAATTCCTTGAGCAACAATGGCGCCAAACTAAAAAAATTCAAAGTTAATAAAAAATATTCCCTTCGTCAAACCTTAGTAATTGTATCTTCACTCTTTTCAGTTATAGTTTTGGTAATTGTCTTGCGAAACTCGACAACATTTGAACATGTAGACTCAGTGTGTTGTATTAATACAAAAGATAAAGCAATTAATGCTCCTTGTCTAACAAAGTTTTCTTTGGCTTGCAACAAAGGTTCAAGACGAGAAACGGATTCCTAAAGAATATTTTTCATTTTTTCAAAAATGGGAGGGGATGAAAGAGGCGTCAGGGCGTCGTAGACAGGTGTGTTTTACTCCAACCTCCTAACTACTCTATTGCAAGGGCGTATCCAGGGGGGGGCTGGGGGGGGCTAGAGCCCCCCCCGAAATGGGGGAAAGGGGGAAAAAATTAGGAGAAGGATGGTCGAAAAAGTGAAATTTTTTCGCCTATAACCCTCAAATTTTAAAAAATTTTCGCCTGCGGCGCAAAAAATGGAAGAAATCTGGCTTCTTGAGCTCCAAAATCCTCAAAATTTTCGCCTGCGGCGCTAAAAAGTAAACTTTTTTGGCCTACGGCCCTCCAAATTCAAAAAATTTCTGCCTGCGGCGCTAAAAAAAGGAAGAAATCTGGCTTCTTCGGTTCCAAATTCAAAAAAATTTTCGCCTGCGGCGCTGAAAAAGTGTATTTTTTGGCCTACGGCCTTCTAAAATTCAAAAAATTTTCGCCTGCGGCGCTGAAAATATAAAAAGTTATGTACAAAAAAATTTGCCGTAGGAACGCCAAAGTAAACGCCAAAAATTTTTGCGCCCACCCAGTGTTAGCCCCCCCGAAACCGACCCCCTGGATACGCCCTTGCTCTATTGAAGGGTCCCATTTAGAAATCCCCAAAAACTCAAAATTTTCCGACCACAAAAATCTAACCTTATATCCAGATCCAGCACAAGCAATTCCTAACGCAATAGCAGCTCCATAACGAATATGACCATTAAAGTGTTCAAATAACATTCCGGTATGACTCAAGCAAAGTTCGGGGTTCCTAAAGTGATTCAAATCGATTCAAAAAAATTTTATTAAAAAACCCGCTAAGAACAAAACCAATAGCAATTGTAGCAAATCGTTTAACATCACTACTAGGATCCGCAGCAACTTTTTCCAAAAGTCGTTTAACAACTTCAGCATTTCCACTTCCCGCGTAAGCCATAGCAATCTACACGTTAAATGCGAATTAAAAAAAAATTTTTTATCAAAAAATACCATGCACACAGCAGTTTGTCGCATTATCGACTCGGAATGGAAACTTTCAAGAATCTCAATCCAACTTTAAAAAAAAATTAATTTTCCTCAAAATTAGAAAAAAAACTAAACGGTTCAGCTTTCTCCAACATTCCATAAGCTAACATAGCAATTCCAGTACGCAATCCACGCTGAATTTTATCGTGTTGAGTATCCAAAATGTAGCTTCGCATTTCATCAAAAGCCTTAGAGTTTTTTAAATTAAAATTTTTACAAAATAATTTACAGATTGGTTCATCGAACCCGCCAAAACTAATCCCATTGCAATTCCAGCTCCTTCACCAGAAACAGCTTCATTTTGACTATACAAGCATTCTCTCAAATGTTCATAAATTTTGACACTACGAGTTCCCAATGCAGCTAATCCCAAACCCAAACATCCTCCATGACGAACAGCACTTGTAGTGGCTTTGTTTAATTGATCAGTGAGGTAGTTAATGACGCTTTGATTGCCATGATTTGCGTGGATTAAACCTAAAATTTTATTAAATTAATATGTCATAATTAAAAAATGATTTAACGCCAATTTTTAACACCCAGAAAAGCCGGGAATAGGCAAAAAATCACTCGTTCAATCTCCTAATTTTGATACCGACCAAAATTTTCGTTTGCTCACATATTTTAATAAGTATATTTGTTAAATATCAAAAACGAATAGGTGGAAAAGAGTGGACACCTGGGGCCCAACGCCGTGTAGGTCCTGCTAGAAATGGGTTAGGAAATTATGAACAAACCATATGCATAAAGCGATCCTCCCTCTTTAAAGCCATATGGATCAACATCCCCTCTGGGCAAATAAGGATCGAGGATCTTTCGAGCTTCGCGTTCATGTCCCTGAGGAAAATAAATAAAATAAATTCTGAAATCATCAAAAAACCTTATGAATCAACCCAAGTGATGCAACAGCATTAAATTTATTCCAATTGGTCGCCTTAGAAATCCAATCCAAATTCTCTCTAAAAAACATATAAAGAAAATATTGAATTTAAAATAGGGTAGCACCCCGCCCCTTAAGGGTCGAGAGTCTCGTGGACAGGAGTTTGCCGCGATGGGCCTTCAAAGTGGGGGGTTTTTGCCTAAAAAATCGTCGGGGTTTCGGTGGAAGGAGTGATACTCTAATTTAAAATATTAAATTAAACCTAAGAAAATCATCACAAGTCGTCCCAGTATGCATTAAACCATTAGCAATAACAGTAGCATTATGAGCACAGGATCCTCGGACTACATCTTTTATATTCTTCAAAATCAACATATCCGTGTGGTTATTCTTTATCAAAAATTGCATATGATGTTTAATCGTTTCTTCACCGCTAAGTATCAACTTTAAATTGTTGTTTTCTGGGGACGGCTTTGTTTCCTCATTTTCTGGGGAATCTTCTTTTTTGAATAAAAGCTCCTTGAGTTGTTCCAAAAATTCTTGAGGTGCATTTTCGTAAAGATCAAAAGCAAGTTGATAGGCAACGAGAGTGTTTTTCTTAAAATTGGTAAATTAGCAGAAAATAAATAAATAAAAACCTTCGATAAAAGATTATTGAAAATCTGTGCAACTTGGGCAGGACGTTCTAATTTGATCAAACACTGAAAAAGAAAAAAATTTAGTGAAAGGTTTTGAAGAGAAGCCTAGGAAAAGGGAAGAGGCCAGTGAATAGGCAAGAGTGATAAAATACTCAAACAGGGAATGGAAAGTCCTTCGTCCATCAATAAGTTCAAAAGGCTAATTGAAAATAAAAAAAAGAGGGAAGAGGCCCAAGTAAGAAGGTAAGCCTTTCCTCTCCCGTCCATAATGGAGTGACAAAAATCCTCCGTTCATCAGAGATCAAAGGCTAATTGAAAAGAAAAAAAAGAGAAAAAGGACATTCCGACAAAAAGGAAATAATAACAAAAAACAATATCCAAAAAGAAAAATAACAACCGTAGGAAAACCTATGCCCATGAGGAAGGACCAAACAAAACAAAAATTTAAAAACCTGGCATATAGAAAGCACTTTCAAAGCCAAATTCTGCGACCCCTTCTTTTCTATTTGCAAATCAGCGTCCAACATATGGAAAATCAAGTCGAGCACCAGAGTTCTAAACTCAATATCCAATTGT